AGATAAAAAGCGCGGCAAAACTGTTGGTGGCATTTTCTGTCAACGATTTCTGTAGAATTTTATGCAATCAGGCGCGTTTCCATCGCTGTGTTAACCACAGTGTATTCAAAACATTTCTATGGTACGTGAAAGACAATGAATGGAACTAATTTTTACTGTAAAATTACAACTGTGACAAAGCTTTACAAAAAGCTTGTACATGTCGAGGGCTAAATAAAAATAGTAAAGCCTCAAAGAAGAATATATATTTTACTAAAGATAGCATCCAGTTTGATGTGAAACATTACTGCACTTTAGCAGAATGTCCCATCTATTGTTATCTGTTTTATCTGGTGTTGACTTAAATAAAACAGACAAATCTTAATTTAGCAATGACATGGCATATATTCTTTCATGTCATTGGTTATTTGAGGAACTTAGTTCCTGAAGAGTAAGGTTCATATTACAAACCCAAATCTGATTGGTTGATACAGTAACTTATTTCCCAAAGATCTCATTAAAAATGTATTTGAGATCTGATTGGTTCATTCAGGAACTAAGATTCCTAAAATGTCAAGTACATTTTAAAATGGTGAAGTACATTTTTAAATGGGGATGTGTTTTTAATAGTCAAAATTCTGTGGGAAAAATGAGTGTTTAAATTTGCAAATTTTTTTTCCCATTGATTGCAGGAAAACAATTACACACAATCAGTGTTGAGCAAAAACCAGGGTTAAGGCTGAACCAAATAAAAACTAGATGTTTCACTTTCAGTGGGTGCATAATAATGACCTCCCAAGTTACAGCACTTAGTTGGTCCAGTAGGTTTGTATCCACATGCATACCTTCAGAATCAGCTCTTCTAATTTGTACATCCCAAGAAATGGCTGTGTGTAAGATAAATAACATCATTATATTTTATTGTGATCTTGTCAATATGGTCATTTTTCAAGATCGCCTGCTCTTTCCAGTCCTGCAATCTTTTTTTCCTGTAAAGAATTTTGTATCTTAAGATTGCACTATATGTTTAAACTGTGTTACAACACAGTACTTGCCCAAAAAAAAATTAGGAAATTAACACAATCTCACTATTGACAAAATCATAAGTTACTTATTACATTTATTTAATTGCAGTATCCACATTGGACATCACTTGCACTATACTTTGGTTTTAATGTTCATTTTACTTTATTTTTGGATTTTACTCACACTCAACTTGCTTAAAATACCTGTAGATCGCTACGCATTATTTTTTGTCTATTGTTTCTTGTGCAGTAGTGGTAATTGTAGTATAGTTTTGCATGCGCTTTCTTTGTGTCATTACGTTACATAGCATGTATTTAAACCATATTGTTCATCGTAGTTTGAGCAGTTTTTTCCACTACAGTTCTGTCAAGTGTAGTTTGCATATTCTTTCTTTTCACTTCGTGCAGCTTGTTCGCCACCAGGCAGGATTCACAACATTGCAACAAATGTAAGTTTGTATTATGTAGTTTTTGTCAGCGTTTTCTTTGTAGCTTTCCTTGGGTATTTAGTGTAGTTTATATTGTAATAGGTTTTCATTTTGCTGTTTTATTTGCAGTTTTAATGGTGTTGTTTCGTGTTGTGTCGTTTCGCTGTGTTAAAATCGTGCTTGTTAGAATTAGTCGCCTTTGAGAGTAATAATACCTTTAATTTATTCATGTACATTTAAATTAAATTTATTTTCTACATCTCATTAAATACATTTAATGCAGGGTTCAGAATAATTATACAATTCATCATACCATTAATAGCACTTTGGGAAAGAGTGATAGCCTGGGAACGAAGTCACTCCGCAAACACTTAATATGGGATTAATTGGGGGGATGTGGGTAAAAACAAACATGGTGGAAATTAGCACAGAATGTGATTGTAGCGATGACAGCAAGATTTCAACAGAAGTAGATGGTAATAAGATCAAAGTTATCTAAAGCAGAAAATCAAAAAGCATAAATCCAGGAGAAATAGATGTACCTGGAGCAATTTTACCTCGAAAAATACGAGAAGAATGTACTGTCAAACAGCTGCAGCAATGGCTCCATTGCCCTGGAGCTAAAACAACTGGAAATAAAATGAAGCTCATTCAAAGGTAGGAGAACTTAAGGGTAATTTGAAAATTTCTTATTTGTGCCCCTGTTCTTTTCATTACGTTGTTGATCCATGATGTTCTAAGAATACTTTCTGTACCTACTTTGGTATTTTTTTTCCGTTGTAGAGTAAAGGACTACATGGCTGGTGGCCTAAGCTCCAAGATTAAGAACCCTGATGGTGGAATCCATTTAGCGAAAGCTAAAGCTAGCCTGGGACTCATGGAGGAAATTAACACTAAGGAACTCAAAGAACAAAAACAATTTTTTCCAAGTGGATAGTTGAATTTAACTGATTGATAACCTTGCTAGATTTTTTTCCAGTAAAGATTTCATGGGTTTGGAATATCATTTCAGATTTTCTTAGAGATAATTTCTGAATTTGTTCCCAGGATTAATAGCAATTGCTTCATGTTGAGACTGGGACAGAACAAAATACGATACCCAAATGATGGGGAAAGGTCTGTTACAATTGCCTATATTGTTACAAGCAGACAATGTTCCTGAAGTTCAATAACATACAAAATTAGCAAATTATAATTATGTATGTCATCAACAGCCTCTCAAGTCTAATCTTGAAAGGCCAAAAATAACACATGGATAAACAACTTCTACAAGAATGTGCTCATTGTAAAATACCTCAAGTTTTGGAAGCACTGAGCTCCAGAATTCAGGATTAAAGTTCACTGTTGAAATGAAACACCTTCAGTGTCTACAATTGATCTGTCTGGAGGATCATGAACTCCCTTTACCACCAGATCAACAACATAACAAAAAGAACAGGGGCACTAATAAGAAATTTTCAAATTACCCTTAAGTTCTCTTACTTTGAACAAGCTTCATTTTATTTCTAGTTGTTTTAGCTCCACGGCAATGAAGCCATCGCTGCAGCTGTTTCACGGTACATTCTTCTGGTATTTTTCGAGGTAAAATTGCTCCAGGTACATCTTCTTTTCTTAGATTTATGCTTTCTGATTTTCTGCTTTCAATAACTTTGATCTTATTACCATCTACTTCTGTTAAAATCTTGCTGTCATCGCTACAATCACATTCCGTGCTAATTTCCGCCATGTTTGTTTTTACTTGCATCCCCCCAATTAATCCCATAAGTGCTTGCAGTGTGACTTCGTTCCCAGGCTATCACTCTTTTCCAAAGTGGGCTATACACATATCTTATTAGATGTTTTATTGTGTAGTATTGCTGAATATTTTTATGAGTTGTGTTGTATTTTGACGAGCCTGTAGGGCAAGTCAAAATACACACAACAAGTAAAAATACTCAGCAATACTACAAAACATCTAATAAGAGAGTTATTATCCAACACGCCAAATTGTTATTTCAGTGTGGGTGAAATTCACAAATATTTCTGGACTACAAATATCGCATGATATTTGTTTTCATCTTGCACGTTATTATTTTGTACTCTGCAAAGCACAGTTGAATAATAAACAGCATTATAATTAAATGAATGAATATTCATTACATTTAGTAAACTATAGACATAGAGTTCTTTAGTGAGGAAATCTTACATGGAATGAAGAGCTTGACAATCATATGAAGGCATGCTCTTAAGTAATATGTCTGGGCAGACACAAGGCTTGTCAGGAATTCAATAAATTCTTGTACTGTTTTCTCGCCACATACTGCCCACCTAGTATTCTAAAATTATAAACATTTAATGATGATATCAACATAAATAATAATTAAATACCAGTTAAATGTTGTCTATAAAAACAACAAAATAATTATATTGAGTGAAAATTATTATTGCTCTAAACAGTCTTAAGTTTCAAACTTGGGGCTGAATATAATACAATGTATAGATGGAAATGCAAAGTGAGAATTACTAATAACATATTCAAAGAATAATGATTTCAACAAAAACTTATATGAAAATTAAAATAAGTTATCTTTACCAGAACTGCCCCAACTAGTGTATCATGCTGCTTTGTCAGACAAGAAACACAAGTTGTCAATGCCATAAGATATCTCTGAAAGTGGACTTCCTACAAAGGAGATCAAGGAAATAAATAAGCTTAATTTCAATCTGTTTTTAAGAGTAAGCCAAATCTTTTTAACTGCTGTACAATTTGGAACTGTAAAAAAATTTGAATCAATGTTTATTTCAACTCAGTTTGCACAATCTGGCTATCCATACTATCAGATTCTTTCCATGATGTATGGCAAAGAGTGCCTCAGCAGTGAAGTTCACTTGTTTCATTTCTCCCTTTTCCCGAGTTTTTCTTCTTGCAGTCTGAGCTCAGCCTAAAGCTTAATTTCCACACATCTAAGAACTATCTGCTCACTGCTTGGATTGATAAGAAGCTCATTGATCATGATCACCAATTGGGAAATGTTCTTACACAATCAAACGAATTTACTAAAAATGGCAAAGCTTGACTCAACCAATGGCTGAAATGAGCCTCAACATAATAATTTTGCTAGTTTCCATATGATCATTGCCATGATTTGCTGAGCCATGCTATACTGCTTGATCGATCCAGGTTTTTTAAATTCTATCATATCATAACCAGAGAAACACAAAAGACTTAGCAAGACATGTATTTCTTGATTAAACGGATTAAATTATTTAGTGTTGAATTAAGACTCTAACAAAGTACTTGTACTGAGCACCAACTTTTTTTTTTCTTATTGCCATCTGAAGTTCTGAGAAAAAGCCAATTTGTTGTCATTGTTGTTGTTGTTGTTGTTGTTGTTGTTTTGGGGGGGGAGCGTCGGGGCGAGCGTGCAGTAACAAGGGTGAACTGGAACGGATCGGGGTCGAATTTGCACAAGGGGAAACGTGTAATTGTTAATCAAAGTTACCTTGATTCCTGGGTCAGCAAGTTTCTGAACCAACAGATCATAATCTTTAGTTTTCCCCTAGGTTAACAGAATATGAAGTTGCTTAATCAATTAAGCTTAATACCGGTATTTGTTAAAAGGGAGAACACAACATTTGATAAGTTCAGCTATCTCATGGAGTGGGCTCGGGGAGCATAAACACCGGCCAAGTAATATACCTTTATGCAACTTTCTACAAGTACCCGGTTGAGATTCTACAAATACCCGGTTGAGATCGTTTCTAACTGTAGTAAAAAGTATTATGAAGAACGATTGAGACTAACTCACCAGTTTTGCATTCTCCAAAGCGGCCGTGATTAAGGACGCGAGAACTTCAGCGCCGCTCGGACCCCGATCAGTTTCGCTCGAGTTTCGGTCGACAGACATCACCAAAGGTCAGACGCCGGTGACCTAGATAGAATGTCTTCTTTCTTTTAAACATAATTCTGATATCGCTTCGAGCATTTCCTTTTCAAAGTGTGGAAAACGTCTCGCAATACAAAAGTAAGCCGTGTAGACCAAACAGTGGACTGGGAGCTAAACTCTTGAGATGTTTGGTATAATTTACGTGACGTAAAAGCAATGTGGTGGTCTCGAGGGGTTATGCTTTACATCAAATATATTAGCTCTACCTTGAAAGGTGTTCAACGAATTACGTCGCTTGGTAAGTCTTGTGTGACTGAGTTTTGTTTCATGTTCAGCTTTCTGTTCGATTATTGTGATGAGACAATCGCATGTTTCATTTATTACACATAACTGTGTATCTTAAACGCCATCCATACATACTTATAATATAACCAAAGTAAAGCGCGCGCTCTGATTGGTCAATTTAGCGTCCCCCATTTGCCCATGGGTGTACGCTGCTGACGTGAGCAAATGCAAAGACTATTTTTCCGCGCGCGCTTGTTTTTTCTGGTCACGTAAGATTTGTTAAATAAAAGGGAACTCTTTAGCTACAATGTATCAATGTTATGTTATAAAACAAATGGTAAACACCACAGCGTACACTATTGAGTTATGGATGCACTTGGGAGGTTTGCTAAGCACTCAAGAAGCTAGAGTCGCTCTCGGCTATCGCCTCGAGCGACTCTTACGCTTCTTTCGTGCTTAGCAACCTCCCGCGTGCATCCATAACTCAATAGTGTACGCTGTGGTGTTTACCATTTGTTTTATAACATAACATTGATACATTGTAGCTAAAGAGTTCCCTTTTATTTAACAAATCTTACGTGACCAGAAAAAACAAGCGCGCGCGGAAAAATAGTCTTTGCATTTGCTCACGTCAGCAGCGTACACCCATGGGCAAATGGGGGACGCTAAATTGACCAATCAGAGCGCGCGCTTTACTTTGGTTATGTTATAA